AAAAAAAAAGATAAATGATTCCTCTTGAGCCCAACCGAACAAACGTTTTAAAACCCCATTTATTAGGCTTTTTCCGATTAAATTGGTGAATATCACTATGTTTTATTTTTGCAAGTATTATTTGCTCATCAATAGAATGTACTGGTTCTGACTCTATTTTGTAACTTTAAGTTTATTATTCTTATTATCTGCTTCATCTTTTTTGGAATTGTTAACTACATGAAGATATCTTCTTAAGGCTTTATACCTATTAATTGGCATTACATCAGCAATTGTATTAATTTTGATTTCATTCATCCAGTACAAAGGATAGTTTAGCAGCTTTAAAATACTTATTAACAACGGATCAGGTTGCCGCATGGCAACAAAATATTTTTTATGAAGTTATGGATCATACAGTCGAAGCTTATAAAAAACAAATGATGTAAAAATACAGAATAACCTCTTGTAATTTACATTCACTATAAATATAATAATAAACTAAAAGTTCAGACACCACTTGATGGCCTGAAATAGATACCTATTTTATTCCAAAAAATGTAGCAACAAACTACCCAATGATACTCATAAAAAATAAACTGATATTTTTGTTTACTAATTGCTTTGCATAGTCTAAATACCGTATTAAACAAGAACATCTGGGCTAAATAAAAAATTATATGATTTAAGTAACATTAACCATACGGCAACCCTTACCTGTAAAGGGTTAAAAAAACTGTCAGAACTACAATCATCAGAGATAGAATCATCAGAAATTATCAATTTAGAAGATGAAATAATGAACGATTTAAATGTCTTCATTTAAATTTGAATGAAGATTATTTGGAAGATGAAAATATTGACGTGTGAAATAAATGCAGCAATATTAAAGGTGAAAATATTGAAAAATTATTACTTTGGAAGAATTTTTTTCAAGTAAGTTTTCCTTTGCGTTTCTAATGTAATTTCAATAGATATTAGTTTCTAATGTAATTTCAATAGATATTTATACATATTTTCTCATCTTTTTAAAAGTTAAGATAAGCTTGTCACCTTTTATATAAATACTGGTGTCCTTTTTGGCAGGGGCGGACCCAGGAAATTATTTGGGTATATCTGACTTTTTGGAAAAATTTTTGACCCCCTCCCCAGGGCCATCCCGAAGGATGAGGGGGTATCGTGGTGTCCCTCACCCCCTCCCCTTTAAGATATCTTACAAGCATTTGAGTTAGCACATTAAGCAAGTTTTGAACTATAGTTGGCATATTGGAAATATTGAGGACCTTTTTTTTTTTTTGGTGTTTCTAGTCGTTAGTTGAAAAGCAAAAAAATACATGGAAGACCATCTTCAGTTAATCTATCAAGATTAACCGAGGTCTATTATTAAAAGAGGTCTATTAAGTTAATCTAATAAAAGCCTTTCTTCAATTAAAAATATGCAAGGTTATCACCGGGGCACTTTACTTTTAGATTATAAAATTATATATTTACACATTATTTACAGATCTATTATTAAAAACTATATTTTTACATTAATATTAATAAAATAAATTACACAATGCAAAATTTATATTTCTATTTTAACAAATATATTATAAAATAGCACAAATTATAATAAAATATTGTATATTAAATATGCAATTTTAAATTATAAAAAGAGGTATTTAGAGGTGCATTCTTAATGCCACATTTTGTTAAAAAAAATAAAATTTTAAAACATTCATTTTAATAAATCCTGCTGATTATACATAAAAATGAAAAAAATCAATTAAAAAACAAAAGCATTTTCCAATTATAACAAATACAACTTTTATATATAAAAATGATAACACTAAATCGGTGTTTTCCACCCAACATGTTCAATATGGAACGGTACTTTCAATATGCTCCTCTAAAATTTGATGCCTGATATGTACAAGTTTAAAAAGTATGATACCTCATTAAAGTGTGCCAAAAATGATACTTGTCATATTGCAAAACATGACATAGTGCTAAAAAAATACTTGACATATTGCACTTTGTATGAGGCACAAATAACTAAATTAAGTCTATGACTGTTGCAATGAGCATATGCAGCTTTTCCATTTAGATTTAAAATACAAGAGGATAAATCTTTAGTGTGACCATCAATCCACCCTCTCTGGCCTACAAAAGCTTATTAATATATGTAATATGTACACACACAAAAACTGCATAAAATTGAATGCTGACAAAACCGAGTTCCTGCTCACCGGAAAAAAGCAAATTAAAAACTGCACAATAACTCTCAATCACCAAAAAATAAAACTTCATGATAAACTTAGTCATCTAGGCTTTACATGGGATACAAAAAGTTCCCCTTTGGCCTCACTCAATAAATCAAACATTGATCACCGAATATCTAATTTCCGGACGGTAATCCAAACCTTAATTCAATCAGGAGTCCGTTTTGCTCACCCAAACTCCATTGTTCAGTTATATAAAACTTTAGCTGTTCCAACACTAACGTATGGTCTTGAGCTGTGCGAACATAAAAAAATGTTAATGCAAAAGCTCGATATAGTTGGAAGAAATGCACTTAAGTCACTCCTTGATGTTTCAAAACATAGCAAAAATTATATTCATACCTTATTTTTTATTGAAGATATATCAATTATTATATAACAAAACAAACTAAACTTATTTATTCGTTTGATGAACAATAAAATGACATATGATATTATTAGGTTGCAGCTGAAAAACAAAACAGCCCCACAACATTTTTTAGATAGTATCAAAGGGTTATGCAATAATCATGAACTAAATCTGGAGACAATAATGGAAAGTAAAAAAAAAATAAAAATTGTCGGCCTCAAAAATTTAATTTCTGAAACGGATCTTCAATCTCTAAAATGTGCAGTTGAGTACTGGAACTTAAAAGAGCAGAGAACTATCTCCAAGGACATTCTTGAAAAACATATTCCAAGATGATTACGTTGAAACAAAATAAAAAAAAAATTTCCAAGATTTTTTATATTTATCTTGTATGAAACTCTTAATTTACCTTACTTGTATAGTGGGTGTTTAATAAATCTAAAATAAATTTCTCTACCACCACCATATCATAATTCAAAGAATTATGATATGGTGGTGGTAGGAAGGAATCCGAAATATTTTTTATCAAAAAATAAAATATTCCGTACTAGTAACACCATTTGTGCAATCTAAGAATCTGATAAATTCTCTTATTGAACTTTGAACCAACAAACCATATAATTAAAAGTAGTTGTTCCTCTACTTTAATTGTCAGAAGCTTCATCAAAAAAATCTTTAAAATTTTTAAACTATTTTGTTATTAACTTCTCTAAAACACTTTTTTAACCAGATATTATGGTGTCTTAGATATGTAAGAAGCGTTTTTTGTTGAAAATATCTAAGCTGATCTTGAAGAATTTTATCACCAGCATAAACACGAACATGTTGCAAACATGATTTATTAAGAAAACTTCGTATATCTACATAGTCGAGACATTTTAAATATCACAATAAACTTTAAATATTTCAGGGTGAAAGAAGGAAGGTACGTCCGACTGTGTTTTTTCATAAATAAAATCGATTACTTAAAATCTAAATATTGAAAACTAAACTAAATAAAAAGTTCAATCACAAAAAAAAATAATGTTAGGTACGTCCATTGTTTTATTTTGATATGTAGTAACTATTAAAATATATTTTACCTCCTGATTATCGCTAAACAATAGATTTTAACTAAGATTTTACTTAGGGTGTACTGCTATGGGTACGTCCAAAAATTGTTATAACTAAAGAAATTGATATTTTGCTTTTATAACAAAACAAAACAAAAAAATTAAAAACGTTTTTTATCGTTTAACAAAATAATATTGGGTACGCCCATTGACTCTTCTAATTAAATATTATTTATTTATTATTATTTTAACCTCCAGTTAAAAAAGATTTTTTTATTTACTCTAAACAAAAGGCAACTTTAATTACTCTAAACAAAAAGCGAATTTTTTTTTTTTTTTTTAATAACTGTTTGTATAAAGGTAATAAAACTTAAATTTAATTCACTTAACGGTTAAACTAAAAAAAATTATTTTTATACGCAATATTGAAATAATATAAAAACTTTTTTTTTTTGGATTTATTTTTATTTTTGGGTACGTCTACAGACTTACTAGACGTACCCTAGATCCGCCCCTGCTTTTTGGTATATATGGCTTGCAGTTTCCTAATTAGGTCTGTGAGTGTAATAGGTTATCTTTACATGTAAATTGCTCCAACGAAATAGTATAATTAATAATAAATAATATAATCAGTGGTGTAGCTAGTAGTTCGGAGTCCTGTTCTAAACAAACAGTCATTAGGCCCAAGAAATCTTAAAAAACTTTGTTACTTAACAAAAAAAAAGAAGCAGAAATTTGTACTTTTATAAACTCTTTAAAAATAGGTCAAAAGATAGCGTCCAAGTGTTTAAACTAAATAAATTAATAAATTGTTAAAATGACAAAAAAGTTTAAAAAAAAATTAAAAAACTATTTTTAGCCACATGGCAGTTCATTGCTTACACTAGATTTAAATAGTCTAATATATCTTTCAAATAGTTTTTTTTTAGTTATGTTTAAATTTTAAGTTTTCTTTTGTAGATTTTTTTATGCCATATAGCCGCCGTTTGAAAATAAGATAATAGATACAAATAATACCATTAAAAACATTGCGCCATTCCTGGTGCAATAGCGCACATTTTAAAAAATTAGGCATGAATTAATATTTGGTATACGCTCATTGTTCTTTAAGCATTTCTATTGAGCTTTTAATTTATCACTTTTAGTTTCTGTTGAGCTTTTAATTTATCACTTTTAGTTTCTGTTGAGCTTTTAATTTATCACTTTTAGTTTCTGTTGAGCTTTTAATTTATCACTTTTAGTTTCGAATAATTTTTTTATATTAATATTTATACAAACGTTTGAATCCTTAAAACACGTGTTTTTCTGAATGACTAGCAATGTAAGCGTTTGTTTAGAAAGAAAAAAAACACCCACTAAAAAAAAACTGCAGAGCTTTTTTTATGATTATCTGCAACAATATAAAATAAAAAACGACAACAGAGAATAGCTAATATTTATATTCTGCTCAAAAAGTTTAATTTTCTTGAAGCAGACGATACATAACGAAGCAGTCAATAGTTTGGAGCGGCTTAAATGGCTTGCATTCAAATAATAGAAAAAAAAAACTTGTAAAATAATTTGTTTCAAGAAAGATTAACTTGATTTTATTGATACAACATGTAAAATTTTTTACAAATGAAAAATCATTTATCAAAAATGAAGGTTAATCCATTTATCAAAAAATACATCATCCTGTTTAAGATGTTTTATCGATATCTATACAAGGGTTTTAACATTTTCTGCAACATTTTTAGAAAAAAATTTACTTTAAAATGTATTTTCACTTGGCTGCTGAGTATGGGAATTGCTGAATATAATATATTCAATGTATTGCCAGGCCATTTACATCCGATGATTTTCAAATTTATATGGATGTTTTTTAACTTTAGGGCTAACGTTTTTTTTAAACTTAGATCGTTTTAGTCGCATAAAGGAACCAACTTTTTCAATATGATTGCGCTCATATAATAAACTTATTGTTCTATGCTTTCCATATTTTCATTGTTCCATCTTCAGAATATGTCGATAAAAGATTTTGATGCGGGTGATGACATAAGCCAATAACGTCTTTTTCATGAACCTTTTAAGCAATTAAATACATTGTTTCAGCTGCACAGATTTAAAATTTTGAACGGAACAAAAAAAAAAAAAAAAATTTAACACTTAAACTAAAAAAACAAACATAAAAAACCATACAGCCATTGTTCTTTCAAGTTTCCCAGAAGTTACACTAAAACAATATAAAACAAAATCTTCGCCAACGCAATAAATCCATTCTCCGTTGGGTGATACTTCACAGCAAACAAAGTCTCCGCCTTCTCTCTTACCAGATGTGAAAGTTCGCATTATCTAGACATTGAAAAATAAAATCATATATTATCAAAAAGATGCAATACCCGATTACAGAGAAAAAGTTTAAACAAAAACAAATTTTCACCAATTATATTTTCTAAACTATCACACTATAGATTGAGATTTTAAAGTAATGTATATTATAAATTTGTAAAAAAAATTTACTATATTTTGCAAGCTTTTTACTAACTTTACATTTTTACCAACTTTACTTGTTTCATTTGCATACTTTTTAAATTTATTATACATTTGCAACCAAGAGTAATATACAAGTTTTTATTTTATCATAAACAATAGTCTACATAAAGTACTTATACTTTTTATAATTTATCAAAGTAAAAAATATTTCAAAGAACAAATGCATAGAGCACAAGAATGGCCTTACACTAGTTAAAAGTCCTACCGTATAGTATAATACAGTATACAAGATTTTTTACAGGGTGCCCCAAAAATTTCTACATTTCATTTTCAGATAATTAAATTTAAAAATTAATAATTACACTCCACAACAACATGTAGCAATGTTGGTTTAATTCCCTCAAAGCCTTTAATTTCAAGTGAGGTCACTGAATGGTGCAAATTCATCATAGGACTGAACTTTTTTTAAAGATGGTCATGAGACAGTCATGTAACCGCTTTACCTCATCATTAACAGTGCATGCTACAGACAAAATACTTTTAAAATACTTTTTAACTTTTCTTAAATCAATTTTTATTGACAACTTTATTTTATGGTCATTTCACTTTAAGTTGGGTTCAACTACCATGTTCAAAATTTACAGGATACTCTAGGAATTAATATTAGATGAACAAATAATAGATAGATTCTAATTTAATCTTAAATGCATAAACCTTTTTCCACATGATAAGAAAGTTTCAAAAACGCAATATTTTAATTGGAAAATTTCTTGATTTAAATATTTTCAAAAATAAAAACAAATTTAAAAAACAATATTCAGAATTAAAGTAACTTTTCTTATTGGAACAAATAAACATAAAGACTACACACCTGCCCTTGCATATTCATTGAAAAAATTGTACTTGACTTGTTACATAAGATAAACTGATCCATGGCTCTTGGAAGAGAATGCACTGAGTTAATTCTAATTCCAGCAGTTGATCCTCCAATACCTCCTTGAAAAGTGTGTACACATTCACCAGACTTAACATTCCAAACCTATTTAAAAAATAAAAAAACCTCTTTTAGAAAATTTTAATAAAATGGGCCTACAGTAATGTGGTATTAGACTTTGTGGAAAAACATTTGACTCATAATCATGAGGTTCAAAAAATAAATAGGAAACTTATGAAATTTTTGTTTTGTATATAAAAAAAATCATGCATAGCCTCCATGACTCTAGTGGCTTTGGAGCCTTAGGTAGTAAAATTAAATTAAAAAAAAAGTAATCCAATATAATTTGCATTTGATTTAACATCATGTACCTTTACAGTACCATCACTGCTGCAACTGATTACTTGGTAGTTATCTTGTGTAAACATGGCATCATTTACAAAAGATGTATGTCCACGAAACTCTTTCAGTGTTCGACCAGACTTAAGTCCATGTATTCTATATAATATAATCAAAATATTGAGAGAAAAACTAACTTCAATTAATGTCAAACTTTGCAAATTGTATTATAGATTAAACAGCTTACCTTATTGTATGATCATATGAAGCACTTAAAATTTGACCAGAATCTTTAGAAAACTGAACAGAAGTAACACCCTTTGAATGAGCTGTTTCAAATCGTCGCAAACATTGGCCAGTTTGTATCTTCCATACCTCCACAATTTAAGTTAATCATTTATTTATAATGAGGTGCGTATAAAACAAGTGTAAAAAACAAGTGTAAAAAACATAAAACTTTTTTTTTTAAATGAATCTTATTGTTAAATTGATAAAAAGAATTATTTTAAAAGAGCAAATTACTTTAATTTTGCCATCTTGGCTTCCAGATAATAACATTTCACTATCTCTACTGAATGATAAACACAGCACAGCATCTTCCATTAACATAAAGTTATCCTAAATAACAAAATGTTTTCAAAATTAGAAAAAAACAAAAACTTATTTGTCTAGTATTTTTTGAAAAAAGCAAAAACTTTTTTGTCTAGCATTTTTCTACTAAAATATCTGACTGTTGTAAAGGTCAAGATTTTAGTTTTTTTTTTTGGTAATTATCAACTTATTTTAAATGTTTGAGGGAATCATTTTTTATGAAAAACTTTTTTTTTTCAGGGTTTAACTGGTGTTCAATCAAATCCTCTAAAAAATAAAATATGTACTATAATAAAAAGCATTTGTAAACAATTTTCTTTTTGACTTTTTCACCTCCCCATGGCAACAGAGCCTCCTATTTTTTTGTTGTTGTTACAACCCTCTCATTCATTTAACATCAAAACATGAGCCTTGACAAACAAGGTGGCTGCACAAAAAACCAAGTTTGCTTATGTTAATTAACTACAAAACTACTAGATGGAGCTTGCGCAAGGCGTACTTAAATAACAAGCCTTCTCATCGCGCAACGGCTTAAAAAATGTGGAGGCTGATTTAGTTAGCGGCAAAAGTTACTACGAATAACTTGTATCCCTACCAGAAGACTTAAAAATGCCCAGAAAATGTTGTGTTACTGGTTGTAACTCTAACTATGACTCAGTAAAAGATAAGACAACTACTTTCAGATTACCGAGAGATCCAGTAGAGCGTCTAAGATGGATTAAAGCAATCCCAAGAGAAAATATACCAGACAAACATGACACTGTAGTTTGTGCAAAACATTTTCCACCAAACTTCCAAGTTATTAAAGTAAAAGGAAGAGAAAGACCTCGAGATCCACTTAGTGTATTCGAACAAATACCCAAGAGTTTAGTGTCAACTCCTCCACCAGAAAAAAGAACAACAACAAAATCCAAAAGCTCTGTAAGATCAATAAAAGAAGATGAACTTTCAAAATTCGAAGAGCTTTACAAAATTGATTCATTCGAAAATTTTTGTAATTCGTTATCTCTAGAAAAACTTAATGATTCAGTTGTTTATTATAATTGTTTAAATAGCTGTTGTATTCAATCAAAAGAGCATGAAAACAATACTGGTATTAATAAATTTTGTTTAATAGTATTTAATGACTTATCATATGAAGCCTATCATGCTGGAGTAAGATGCACTATTGCTTCCTTAGTTAAAAATCGTATTCATAAGTTCAAATGTTGGTCGCAAGTTCATGAGGCATTACGATATTTGATTTCCTTTGTCAAGTCAGAAAAGAAAACAGTTTTAATTCAGCAATTTGAATGCATGAGTAACATGAACTCAAGTAATATTCCGAAGCAAAAATATTCGCCTGAAGTAATTGTTCGAGCTTTTGAGTATTTTGCACAGTCACGTAGTTTATACAATCAATTAAGAAATGATTTTCAACTTCCTAGTATTGCTACCCTTACACGTTTAACTTCAAAAGTTTCACACTTTGATGATAATACTTTTATTTGTAGTGTTTTTTCAAAACTCAACAATGGTCAAAAACAATGTATACTATTATTAGATGAAGTTTATGTTAAACCTATGCTAACTTATCATGGAGGACAGTTGTTTGGTAAAGCAGTAAATGATGAATCAAATCTTGCAAAAACTGTATTGGCTTTCATGGTTGTATGTTTTTATGGAGGACCAAAATTTTTAGTTAAAATGTTACCAGTAAATAATTTAGATGCAGATTTTTTATATGATCAAACTATTATCTTAATCAACCAAATTACGAAGGCAAATGGAAAAGTTATTGCTTTAATTAATGATAATAATATAGTGAATCAAGCATTTTTCAAACGATTTGATTGCATATTTCCATGGTTAACAACTGATGGCATTTTTTTACTCTTTGATTTTGTGCATTTAATAAAGTGTATACGAAACAATTGGATAACTGAAAAGTCTGGTGAAATTGAGTTTAGTTATAGAGGAAAAAAATATAATGCTAAATGGGATCACATCAAAAAGCTTCAAAAGTTAGAAGAAGGTGAATTGGTTAAAATGTCTAAGTTGACTTATGTTGCTGTTAACCCAAGGCCAATTGAGAGACAAAAAGTTGATACATGTTTAAAAGTTTTTTGTGAAGAGACTATAAATGCATTAAAGTGTCATCAAGGTATGAAAGATGATGATATTGATGGAACTATTATTTTTTTAACTAAGGTGGTTCAATTTTGGAAAATAGTCAACGTTAAAAGTCCATCCAAAGAAATCCATTTGAAAGACAACTTACGAGCTCCCATATCATATGTTGATGATTTACGATTAAATGATTTAATTGAGTTTTCTGAATTGTTAAAGCCAACATTGATTCAAGGAAAAAGAATTAGAAGTATAACCATGGATACAAGCAATGCATTATATCAAACTTGTAATGGTTTAGTTGAACTAAGTAAGCATTTGTTAGACAATTCTCAAATGTATGTACTGCTTGGGAATTTTAAAAAAACAGACCCCATAGAAAGAGCATTTGGAAAACTCAGACAAGGTAGTGGGGGAACTTATTTTATAAATACTCAACAAGTAATTGAAAAGTGGAATATCAACAAAACCAAACTATTTCTTCAGAAAACTATCAACATTTCAAGTGCTGAGTTTACATCTGGTCATATTTGTGATAATTGTTTTTATAAACTTTCAGAAGATGAGTGTGAGATGTTTAATCATTTACATGAACTTTTAGACCAACTTTCATCGAATATTAAGTCATCTTTAGTTTACATTGCAGGTTATATTTCTAGAAAAGACAATGAAGATGATAACGATGACACTTATCTGTATTATAGTAACTATGGAAATTTTACATCTGCCTTAGATCGTGGTGGTCTGAAAATACCCAGTGATACATTTTGTGAATGGGTATTCTTAAATTACATTTTGTTTAATTTTGTTGGCACATCAAACTTTTGTAGATATTCTATGTCCTGCTTATTCATGGATATTGCATGTATTTATGGTTTCACCATAATTACAAGAAACCATTGTTATATTCTTACAAATATATTATTTAACAATTTTTGCTATATGCATTCACCTGCATCAGACAAGGAAACCAAAGTTAAAGCTTTAAAACTGTTTTGTTAGCTTTTGTGAATAAATATACCATAAAAAGTTTCCAATTTAACTTTAAATGATATTTCGTTTAAAAATTGTTAATTTATATTTTTACTTTTTAATTCTTTCTGTTAATGTTTCATTGTATGCAAATACATAGAAGTAGCTTGGTTATCTTTTGTTATTGTTATTTTTGAACTAACAAGGTGTTGTTTTTTTTTTTACTTTCTTGACAAAATAACAATTATTTTTGTTTTATAAACGTTTTTGTAATAAAAATATTGACTTCTTTATAAAATGATAAAATATTATTTAGTAAAAAATGGCATGGTTTAAGCCTTACATTCTTCTTATCCTTAGTTTTTTATTTAATCAGGTTATGCATTTGAAGAAATAGACTAAAATAATCAAATCACAAGCTCCTACTATATTGTTAAAAGAATTTTTAAATATTTAAAACTTAAAAAAAAAATTGTTTAATAGTTGAGAGCATCAAAACCAAATCAGCCTCCACATTTTTCAAGCCATTGCGCGATGAGAAGGCCTGTTATTTAAGTACGCCTTGAGCTTGCGTAGCTTTGCTAGAATAGAAAATACTGTTTACTATGAAATCTTTACTATGACCTAAAAAGAAAAATTCATGAATAATGCACAAGTTTCCTTGCAGAATGTTTTTCAGTCAATTATATTACTGGATAATTCTTCCTTGCTGGTTATCAATTTGTATTGGCAGCAATTTCAATTTATGGAATTTGCTGTCTGTCTGTTGTTCATTGTAACTTCATTTCGATGATCATAATCATAAACATGACCTTTAAGAGCATAATGTTTTATTCATTTTTCAGAAGATACAACCTTTGACCAAGTGATTATATTAACAAATATAAAAATTAAAAAAAAAATAAACTGTAAACCACAACAATTGTATTTATAATTTATAAACTTGTTGAAAAGTCACACAAAAGCAGCAAATGCTGACGAAAGAATTAGTAAACACAAATCATTATTAAATAGCGATGAACAAAAATATAAAACAATTATTAATTATCATACCTAAAATTGTATATTATTTAATCAATGTAACGTAGGTAAACATTTCTATCCATTTCAATTAGTAAGCTTGTAACTGCCTAATATGTTTTATATATAATAGAAAGATTTTCAGAAGTTAGATAAGAAATAGCGAGAAATAAAAAAATATAAATTTTAACTTTTTTCTAAACTACATCTAAAAATGAATAACTTTTAACATTTTCCCATCAAGCTTACTTTTTTAAATTAAATTTCTAATAAATATGTTAAATAATACTACCATTATGAAAAACATTTGGAATTATAATGTTATTATATATATATATATTGATTGTACTGTTTTACATTTTTTTTTTTTAATTTAGTTTCTTATTATGGTATTTACTTAAAATTAGTACTTGTGCTATAAGTAAATATTCCATGAAATGTAAAAACTGTTTCAGAATACATTTGATTTGATTTGATAAAACTCAAAACTTTATCCAAAAAAAAAAAAAAAAAAAAAAAAGAAAATTATCAGCTAAAAATTAAGACGATCAGCTCAAAAGTAATTAGACGAACTAAATTCCGATAACTTTCTTAAAAATTACTTTTTCTAAACTTCTTTTTTTAAACACACACACGTATAAAAATATTCAATAATTAATTTGCCAAGGGACATAATAAATATTCAACAGAGGACGTTAAAAACTGCACAAGCAGCTAATAACAGTAAGACTTGAAAACGGAAATGAACATTTCAAATCAGCAATTGTCTTTTTTTCACCTTTAGTCATTTCCAAATTTTTCGACAATTTAGTCATTTTCAAGTATTGCTGAAATCAGAAAGGTGAAAATCAAAAACTTGCCAAAATAATATTGTATTGAGATAATCAAATCTGCACAAAAGTGCTAAAAAAATTGACACCATTTGTCATTCGATCATGTTTATAGACAGTTCCGCAAACAGTTTGAAAGCAGTGTTAATTAATTCAACATTCAACACCCATCACTGTCTTCTACTCATTCTGTTTAGATGAAAGAAACAATTGGATAACAAAAACTGGCATTATTTTTTTGAGGATGGAGGATTGGGGAGTCAAAAATCCAGGAAAAATTGACATAATTGTAAAAAGGCCTTTTATATGAGTATTTTAATTTTATCTCTATCTGAAGTATTTTAATTTTATTTTTTCAAACAAAATTACCAAGGAAACAACTTATCAGTATTTTCATTATTTTTTTAACTTATTATTTGTAACTTATAAAAAATTTCACCTCAGATTGATATTTCAAATCTTTTCTAACTTTTCCAGTTTGATAGTTCCAAACTTCAATAAAACCATCTGCACTTCCTGTCACAAGATATTGTCCGTCAGGTGAAAAAACACATGATGTAGGATGAGACTTAACTCCAAACTATTTGATAATAATAAAAAAAAAATAGTTGAAAAACAGCAACACAAAGAAATGCTCATAAAAAATATATACATAAAATAACTTAATAGAATTATAGTTTAAACATTAACAATATTTATAAATTTCCAATTAGGATGTCACAGAGCTTTGACATCGACTTTAAAAGTTTAGAAGAACCGATTGATTTTAACCTCTGGCTTTGGCTTCGATAATTTTAAATTTAAAAACAAATTTAATGAAGATTTTAATTTAGAACACATGGTGTTCTATTGAGTTTTATGTTGTAACTAGAAACAAAATTATAATTCAACAAAAGAAGTTAAACCTTAAACATTTGTTGTTTTACTTGTGAATTAAAAATCCTAGTAGTGTGCAATGTTTTTATCGCTTGGAAGAGAATAATATTGTTATGTTTATAACCTTTATTTAAAAAAATATATTACCAGTGCTTTTTTATTTTTATTTAAACAAATATATTACCAGTGCTTTTTTTCTCTATGAATGCAACTTTTTTTGGTGAAGATTTTCAAAATGTGCATTTCTCTTTTGTGTGATGAAAATTGTAAAAAAACTATGGAATTTGCTAAAGAATTTGCTTAGAATTTTACTTTTCATATTAAGAACAATTCACATGAGCTCTGGCACCGTTTTTTCTAGAAAAAAAGCACTGAATGTTACAATTAATAATCACTATAGTGTTAAACTATTCATTGTTCCTCTTATACTAACTATGCTTAAGTTTTGCACAATGTCTTTTATATGTATTCACACAAAAAATTGTTTTTTCCTTTGTTTAGAAATAATGACCGAGGGATTTATAATGTTGAAATAATAGTTCAAATAAACATGTTGTTAATGGTTATTATTAGAGAAATGTTAACAATGAAGCAAAAATTTTAAACATTTTTGAATACATTTACTTGAAACAAATAAAAAAGAGTTTCTTTCAACTTTAACTCTTTTATTAAGCAAAAAAGCACATCACTGTTCCCAGATAGAGGGTTTAGGTTGAAGGTAAAAATACATGGAATTTTTCTTGCACAGAATTGTCAGATAGGCAAAACTCTTAAAAAAAGCGTAAAATTAAAAGCTTAAAAAACCCAATAGAAGCGAATTAATAATTTAAAGTTAGAATGAGGAAAGTTTTAACATCACTCAGACAGAAATATTATATCATTTGAATCACTTGAATGATTATTAGGATTGTCATCATATTTGTCTTGGTCTGACATCAAAACAAACTTCAGTAGCTGTTCACAAGAACATTAATAAGACTATTAAGAGGTTCAGTGAAAGTAATCCTTCTCATTGAGAAAAACTGAATGGCTGCAACATACAGCTCCATGAGAATGTATAGATTATGTATCAAATATCAGTTTGTTAAGATGAAGAATTTGTTCATATGTAAACTACAATAACTTCCTAATGTTCTTTCAACCTTTTATACTTTAAAAAAAATATGAAGATATGATGGATTAAAAACAATGAAGAAATGATGAGTTATGGGACATTATGATAAAAAAACTATAACAACGTATTTTAAAATTATTAAAAGTATTTGTATGCAATATTTTGCTTTAAAAAAAATAAATAATTGCATTTTTAATTCAATATCAAAATTTGAAATAAAAATTTACAAATAAATACATTATGATTATAATCTAAAATTTATTTTCTTTTTTGGGTCTTTTTAAGCTAACTATAGAACCAAAGACAAACTCCTTGTTGAATTATCTATAAACAATCTGTAGAACCAAAGATTATTTATAGATAGTTCAACAAGGAGTTTGAAAACTTCACAATAGTAATTAACATCCATCACTGTCCCCTGCTCATTCAGTACAGATAAAACTGTCAGTGGATCTTCTTAATAAAATAATTAAAATTTTGTGTTGGATTACTAAGACAATATGTTTTTTTGTTTGTGGAATAGTAAAGCAGATGATGAACATTACAAGAGCATAGAGTGACCGAAAATGAATGTTGCGCCTCAAAAAATGAATTTTGTTGGAGTCCACTAAAGACAGCCTTAAGTGGATTCCAATAAAGTTTTGCATTCATAGCTTCACATTAAGCTAGGATTGGCAAACAAGTTTGTAAAAGGCTCTAACCATGAGAAAGAAACTTTTCAAGGTATCTAACTTATGTTTCCAAAACTCTCTAAAGCTAAGATAACGGGTGGCATACTTGTTGGTCCTCATGCTGTAATTATAGGATTTTTAGGTAACCTAAAAATCCTACATCTAACTACCTTAAATATTGGTAGTCACAAGGTGAAACTGTTTCTAAAAATATCCTTTACAATTAGTTTATATAAAAAACAAAATAAATTTTAAAAATGATTAATTCTAATCAAATGATTTTTAAAATCAGCACCAAAAACTATTTAAATATGATCAATGAACAAAACTACTGTTGGTCGAAAAAGTGCTTTTAAAACTTAAAAAGTCAATTATTGATGTTAAAAACATCTTTTATTGTAAACAGTGGTAATAATCTTTTACAATAATCAGTATTTACAAAATAAAGTAATCATTTGATACATATCTGTATCAAGTTCTTGGCAATAAAATATGAATACATATATTTTTATGCTGATTTTCATATAACATACATACTATAAATACAAATAATACCTTGACTGTTTTGCTCAAATAAGTTGGATATTTCTCTTCCTCTGTACCTTTTACTGCTGCTTTTCCACGAAACAGATCTATTGATGTTCCAGGTGGAAGTAAGCCTTGATATTGCTGCCATTTAAGAGCTTGACCAAGCAAAGCCATTAGACGTGATGGCGGAACAACATTAACCTCACCAGACAAAGCTAATAAGCAATTCATGCTATTATAACCAATGTCAAATTAAGATTTATAACCATTTTTTTATATTTATGATAACCAAATATCAAATAAAATAAAAACCTTGTGCAATTGCATGCCTTCTTTTTTCTTTGCTGCTTCCATCTGGGTAAGCCTAAATGTTTTTTGAATAATTATTTATGAATTCATATTTAATGCTATATAAACTGTTTATCATTTAAGGACTTAATGTTTTCTTTCAAAACAAAAAACTATTATTGTCATCATTATTTTTGTAAATGTGAACAATGTAATTTTGCAAAAGATGAAACAAGCTAGCAACAAGTATCTATTTAAATATCTATTTTTTTTAAACAAAAAATACTGATAACTAGCAATAAATTATCAAAAATTGCATATTCAAACATACATTTTTAAAAATTATTCTTAAAACTTATCTGAATTTCATATTTAAAATAATTGTCATTAAGTTGAAAAATGAAAATTTTAATTAAGTTGAAAATTGAATTGTTTTTTTTTTACTTTCAAAAACAAACTAATAAGTTCTTTTTGAACATTTAAACTAAAATCTAAAACTAAAAAAACTTTTAACTAAAAAAAGATGTTTTTTTATTTAAAGCTGCATTTTTACAAAAACATTTTCATAAGAAACATCCGACATAAAAAAACTTGCTAAGATCAATAATTTTGTATAAAATATATATTTTGTATAAAATATAGATTTTTTCTAATAAACAATTAATATTTGTCTCGTGCAACTTATCTAAACAAATTTTTCTACACACAATTAGTATGCTATGAAATAATGTTAAATGAAATTTATTTCATATAAATAAACTATATCACACCCATTATGTGAAGTAAAATTTTTTTACTTTTGATTCTTTTAAATTTCTTTGTTAAATGCTTTTTGTTGGTTAAAATATTTCAAAAATGGTTCAACATATTCATTTGCTGTATAAAGTTAAGCTAGATTTTTTTCAAGTTAATATAACTTTTACAACATAATATATAACAAACCAAATATAACTTAAAAAAAAGCGACCTTACTTCTGTAAATAAATTTTTAAATATCTTTATATGATGTAATGTTTAATAATATGATGTTTTTAAAAAATGCTTTTGAAAATTTATTAATAAATTTCTCTCATAACAAAATAAGAATTTTGAAACTGCGAAACATAATTTAACAGTTTCATAACAAGTATAACAATTTGCAAGTTATATAAAAGAAATAGTAATATGAAATAATTAAATAAAAATATGGTCCCAGCCCCTGATAGTCCCAGAATCCCTAAATAGTTAGTACCTACATACTGTACATTTAAATTAAATTAAAAATAAAATAAAATGTTGAATGAAATTACTTACTTCACGAGGATCAAAATATGATCTTGCCAAAAGATTTTCGAGACGAAGATATCGATCAGCTTGTTGCTTTTTTAACATTAACATTGGATCAGTCTGTCGCAAAAGTGATCTAGCAGCACCAAGCTCACGGAGTTCAATTAACTCTACAACTATCTAAACCCATATATCTATATGTATAAACAAATGACCACAACTAATTTTTAAATGAGAAAAACATATAAAATTGGCACTCACCTGTTCATAGAGATCAATGAGTGTTTTATCAGGTAACTTGAGAGATTGAATAGCCTGCAATACTATATCCCAGTGCCCATTATTAATATCTGACACAAAACCATCAACACTATCAACTGTGTTTAAAGTTACACTTGACTCTTCCTAAAAATAAAATTGCTGTAAAGTTTTATCAAAATATAACTAAACCCAAAAATACTTATTAGCACAAAAATTGGAAATCGCTTATAATTAATACTTAATTTAACGCTGCTGCCCATTCATGTGCGTTTACACGGACTTTTTTATCATTTATTATAAATAGGACTTGCTTGCATTTTTCTCATTATACTTTTGAACTCACATGATGAGGTACTCTCAAATCTTAACAATTTGTTAATCTGTTTAATCAGTAATAAGGTCGAAAACTTTGCTTCATCAGCTTAATTAGTAATAAGATTGACAATTTTTATTTGATAACTTCTTTAGTAAAGGATGAACCTCATGTTATTTTTGAATTAGTAAAGTAACTTTTAAAGTCAGATAATTTATTTAATTCATGCATTATAATAACACAATTCAAGTGTTTTGTCAATTTTATTTAAAGTATATTAATCTATAATTTTTAAATTAGAAGACGACGATGACTCTAGAAGATGTTGCTCTTTTAAAGGTCAAACTCTTGATAAAGTTAGTGTTCATCTCCAAAACCCTTGCATCTCACACGATCAACTCTATGTTACATATTAAATAACAAGATTGTTTAATACCTTATTTAAAAAAAATTAAAAAAAAAATCTGCTTTTATATAAAAAACCAGATCAATTTTTTTTGCAAGTTGCTAAACATTTATTACAAGGTATGTCATTGAACAAACATTACAAAAATAAGGTTGTATCTGTAAAGTTTTTAACTGATATATTTTTCTTAATTTATATATTTATTTATATCTGTGTGTTATTTAGTAAGTGTTTATGTGTTAAGGTTATATGGGTTTTTATTTTGTAAGTGTGTAAATATCTTTTATATACGAGTGTTTCTATTTTAGTGATATAATGTTATTTGTCTATAGTTTGTAAGTGGTTATTATACTGTTTGCATGGATTCAAATTGTTATGACTTGGCTTAAATTACAGCAAGAGAGTTGACCTTGCTAGCCAAGTGGTGTACTTTGCTATAATGTGACTTGGCTTTGTTTGGAGCAAGATTGTTGTCCATGCCAGTTAAGTGGTATACTGTCATGATGTAACACATAAATTAAATCTGTTTGTAGTTAGTGTAGTCATAAAAAGTGTTAAAAAATTATTGTTGAAAGAATGTGTTTATAAGAAATGTCGAAAAGATATATAATTTTTTAATATCTATAATATCTACAATTTTTTTAATATCTATAATTTTAAGTAAATTTTATTGAACAGATTTATACTTCATTAATTATTTTTTATACTGTTACTTTTTAAGTAAATTTGAGTTTAAAAGATATATACTTTGTTCTTTTTTGTAAACAATTTTTGCTTTTTTTGATAAATTTTGTTAAAAACTGACTTCCTATTCCTAAAATGTGTTAAAAAAATTTGTTTAAATGTTGTTATGTTCTGTTCTTTTTTGTTAATAATTTATGCTTTTGACAATAAATAAATTTTGTTAAAAACAAGCTTTACTAATAGCTCTTCCCCATTAAAAGATTTAACAGTTTAGATTTCCTTCATTAAATATTAACTTAAATTTTTTTATATTTATAAAGGTATGTATACAACATGTTAATACATATGTATAGACAAAAATGCATTTTAAAGTAATTAAAGAGTTTTCATGATGAATGATTACATTTTATTGTTCTATGCTAACAGTACTTGCTGAGCCGACAGGCCTTATAATTTTTTAATTTGCTTTATTTATGAGTTCTTATATGTAAAAAATTATATGTAAAAAGTTCTTATATGTTAAAAGTTTTTTAAATTACTTTTTATTGTTTTTTTGGTTAAATACTAATAATATTTTGTCAATAATTAATAACAACCACCTTAAATATATAACAACACTCATTTAAAAAGATTATATCAATTTATTTATAACTTTAGTTTAGGTTCTTGATAGAAATATGTTATATTTACACATAGCTCAATTGTTTTAAAACATTTAGTTTAAATATGACTAATAGTAGAGTAGAATATAATTAGAGCATTATGTTATCCTATTTTATTTGCTTACACCGTTTTTTAGATAAGTTCAAGAAAGAAAGCTCAATCTAAAAATAAAAGTTCAACTTTTATTATCTTTTAAACATCATTTTTACACGCACTCCTTTGATGCTTAATAATGTCTGATAATTTAAGAAGTGAAATTATTAGACTTATTCAAAATAAAAAAAACCAGGTTAGGTGAGCTGAGATAAATTGTCGTCAAAATGAAAGAGATGAGCCTAGGCGAGCTGAAATAATTGTAATCAAAATGAAAGAAATCAGGCTAGGCAAGAACTCAATAAGTATAATATTCATCGCATAGCAAATTTAGTTATTTTATTTCTTCAGTTCTACTCAGGTGCTCTACCAACTATTATATGTTTACTTTGTCTAAACTTAAAATATGGTTTTAACTTAGTAAACTTTAATTATTTAAAATTTAAAAGTTGATCATTAACTAATAGTTTTAAAGGAAATTAGTTGTCGTAATTAAGGTAACAATAATTTTATTTTCTGATCAAAATGCAAAATTTGTTTGCACCGATAGCGATTATGTTTTCGTTATTTTGTGTAATGATTGTTGCTGGTTGTTTTTGCAATAAATGTCTTTTCTTACAGATTTTGACTATTTTTACTAATGCTCTAGAAAAAGCATTAGCAACAGGTAAATTGGATTGTAATGTTAATCTTTAATGTTTTTACTTCTTATTTCATGTCTTAATTTTTTTTATTTCAGAGATCTTACAATGCTTTTTCAACTTATTGCAGATAAAACAGAGGGCCCACATCTCATAAAGCACATAAGATGTGGACATAAACTTAGAGCAAAATCTCTGCCCCCTCTTTTTTTTCTTTTTTTAATATAGTGTTGATCCTGTAGAAAGTAAAGTATGAGGAGAGAGAGTGATGGAAAAAAATACGCTGCATCTATAGTTAGTATTTTTGTAGTTGGTTAATCTACCAATTGGTAATTGATAATGCAAACTTAGTTAATTTTTTTTGTAAATACATACTTTTCTTTATATATTTTGTTTCGTATTATGTATAAATAAATTGATTTCCAGTTAATAAATGTGGTGTATTTTTTTTTCCTTTTTTAATTCGATTACTTTTTAGATTAATCAGATAACATGTTTGTTTAAAATAGACATACAATTAAAAACTGTTAAAAATTTTTATGTTTTTTTAATTTGTTAATAAATGTTTAAATAAAAATATCTTTAATTTTACAAAGCTATTTTTTTGAAACCACAATTAAATGTTGCACATTTACTTTTACTTGAAAATTTTATTAGGGCAATATTTTCTTAATTTTGATTTATATGAATTTGTATAAAGCATTTAATGCCGTTTTATATAGGTTTATAAACAGTTTAATGCCATTTTATAAAGTTCAATAAGTCTTTAGTTTATTAAACAGTGTTAAAAGATAATATTGTAGCATGCCAAAGCGGTTGAAGTAATTTGCGTGGGTCTAAATCTTTTCGTTTTCACACCTAATTTTTTTATCAAAGTAAAGCAATTTTAAAGGTCTATAGAGATTAAATGCATATCATATATAAAGATTTACAATAGCAAATGAAAGGAAGAGAACTTTTTAAAAAGCTTTTTAACAGTATTGGTTGCACAAACAATAGGTTTTAATTTATTTGCCTAATTCTGCAGTAAAAACAACTTCATTGTTTGAATTTGTTAAGAGTTTTTTTACAGATAGACTTTTATAAAAAATATCAAACAGATAAAGCTAACTTATTTAAAATTACTAAGTCTGTTAGGCCCATTTGTCAATGTCTAAACTTGCTTTTTAAACAAATCATTATGAGAGAGTTAAAATATTATTATTATAGCCTAAGTTTCAAAAAACACCTGAAAAAATGTTACGCAACTGTCTTATATGCTAAAGATACTTTTATTATGTAAAAAATATTAAAGTAAATGAGTAATAATGTAATAAGTAAAAATACTAAATAAGTTCTAAAGTATAGTAAATTAACCAAAAGGTAAGAACTAAAGGTAGTCAGTAAAATTAAGTGTGATGTGACCACTACCTCATAAGAAAAGCCTAACCACCTCAACATAATGGCTTGAGATTAACAATAAAGATATTATTGATGTATCGATTGAATTATTGTGGTCATTGCAAATATCAATAGACAAAAAATGTGATCTTGATGATAACTGCTAACTTAATAAATTATTTAAAAACAAGATGTCAACAGCTAAATGAAACAATAATATGAGAAAAAAAATAGCTGTATAGCTATTTGCTTATTTCTCATTGGGTGTGTATATATATATATATATATATATATATATATATATATATATATATATATATATATATATATATATATATATATATATATATATATATATATATATATATATATATATATATATATTTAAAATATTTTTTATTCAAAAATTGTTAAAATCCAGTATCATTTAATTATATAGAACACATTTAGGGGGTGTTAGCAGACAATTTCAAAAAATGTTATTTTTAGCACCACCCTAATAATTAGGATGGTGCTAAAAATAACATTTTTTGAAATTGTCTGCTAACACCCCCTAAATGTGTTCTATATAATAAAATGATACTGAATTTTAACAATTTTTGAATAAAAAATATTTTCAGGGTCCCTATAATTATCAAAACAAAGACCCTTAAACATCAAACAGGTCCCTATAATTATCAAAACAAAAGTTCTTCAAAAGTAGATCATATTTGGTCTCAAAAGAAGTGAAATTATATAAAAATTTTAAGAATAATCATCATTTGATAAAAAACATTAAGAAAATAAAAATATAATAATTTTTTTTGTAAAAATGCATATTTTTAATTTTTAGTTGAAAAATGCCATTTTAGAGGCAGCAAAATTTGAAATATTTTTTTTTTTAAATAATGATTATTTTTGTTTAGTTTTTATATATTTTCGCTTCTTTTTAGACCCAACATGATATACTTTTGAAATACTATTT